ATATCTGATATAGGCCAGCATGAATCTTCCTACACCATGTGACAGAAAGTATAAAAACAGCTCAGGATATGCGCCAAAGGGTACATGCTGTGGCTAATGTTATGGTAAGAACTGTAAGAAGAAAGGTGATGCTATCTAGCAATATTCCTCAATACAAATGTCAGATACCACCATGTCAGAAGCAACTTGAAAAAACTATGGAAGGCCTGTGGAAAGCCATTGGAGGTTTATATCAACATCTAGTTGTTATTCTTATTAGAAAACCTGAATACCATTCACTTAATTAAAGGCAAATAAAAAGAAATGTGGAATAGAAGCAAGGAAATAAAAATACATCAGAAATACAATTCATACAATTAATCAATAATTAAAGGCAAAAGCCAAAAAGTTACAGTGTAATGAGTGAAAGCAATGTAAAGAAAATGAATAGTTCAAACTCAACACCTGAAGAATGAGGATATGAAAATTTTCTGGTTCTCTGTACGGTCAAAAGAAGACTGATACAATCAAATGAGAAACAGAAATCTCATATACCATTAACATGATGAAGAACAGAATGGTGACTGAAACTCTAACTTATTTCCAAAACTAGAAAGCTACAGGTCCAAATAAGATTCATGTTTATTGGCTCAAATGCTTCACAATCATGGCATATAGTTTCATAGGAGCACATGAATAACAGGAAAGCATTTCACCAGCTCGCTTTCTGACTCAAGCCAGATCTGATCCCATTATTCTTAACAGAAGACATAACATTTATTATCACAAAATGAGAACATCAGTGACCCCTCCAAATATAGATCAATTATATTTCATTATTAGGTAGCACTTTGGAGTTTCTATTAAGTGTAGATTTTTAATGCTTTCAGCTTAAGTTATAATGCAATACTAATGCATAATAAAAATGTTCATAGCTTCAGTCCATTGCATGTTTACTCATGGTACACCTTCGTTTACCTGCTTTAATGGTTAGCACCATTTGCACTAAAGTGTGTCATGGTGGTAGTGGTGGGGAGCAGAAATGGTTTTTGCAATTTGTTCCTCTTCATTTTGCCTTCCTATGGTAGCAAAACACTGGTCAAGTAGTTCATAATGATGCTTATAAGCCAGTCTCCAACCCTATGCTACCCCATCTATTTTTTAGATGCACAGGACAGTTATATCACAGTGGCCCAGTTGCTAGCCTAATCAGTGATTTCTCTGGAGCCCAACTGGCCAGGGTTTCAGTGTTCCTGTCAGACCTTCGCAGAAATCACAGGGCACACAGATCGCCCACTGAATATCACCTGGGTTGATGTTCACTTCCTTTGTTGTTTGCATATACCCCAACCCCTGCAATGACATGGTTGGGCTTTGAGGGCATTGTGGCTGTTATTATTACATTTTCTCCATGAAACTTTCATAATAATAACTCCCATTTATGTATCAGCTTACAATTTGTAATGTATTTTATATACATTATCCTATTTCTTCCTCATGACAACAGTTTGAGAATATGAACAACCCTTCAGCATCCACAGGTGCCATCTTACGTGTCACACTTGAAGGTACAATACTATTTTCAGAAACACTTGTTACATTTTAATCTTCCAAAAAATATCACGGCTCTTGAGCACATTGCCTTGCACTAGGCACTGTACTGGGAGCTACCACTGTTGACAGTGAATATAGTATGTAAGTACTTTGTATCTGCTTGACTGTACATGAGTTTTGAATATCCATACTGAACAAATTTGTTCTGTGAAGATTGGATTCAGTCAAAGGGCTGCTCTTGAGGACCCAGAGGGCCACATGTGGCTTCAAGGAGGAAGATTTCCCATCCCTGTTTTAGAGTTTAAGCTCCTAGGAAAATAAGGATACTAATGAATGCGTCAGCTTTTATTGCTTTGTATGCTAACAGTCTGTAATGTGCTAGTTTTTAATATTTTTATTTTTAAGTAAACTTTTATTGACATCTTTTGTTTTTAGATCATCTACCTTCCTCAATGATTTCTTTCTCTCCCATTCTTCCCACTCACAGAGAGCCACCCTTTACCACAAAGAATTTAGAAAAAAAAAGCCAGTTCAATAAACTAACTAATTCATTTCAAAAGTCTGACGTTGTCTACTAAACTTGTAGCTGTGTGCCTTCTCATCATATCTCTTCTTTGGGCCACTTTTGGCCATTATAATTTTACAGCATCAATTTTCAATTGTTTACAATTAAATTGTTGTGTCATCGTATTATAGTGTTTGCTTAGTTCAGCTTAATTTGCATTGGTCATATAGCATCCCATGCTACTCTGTATTCATTAATTATTTCTTACAGAGTAAGAGTCATTGTTGTTGTTCAGTCATGTCTGACTTTTCGTGACCCTCTTTGGGGTTTTCTTGGCAAAGATACTGGAGTGGTTTGCCATTTCCTTCTCTGGCTCATTTTTAGATGAGGAAACTGAGGCAAACAGGGCTAAGTGGCTTGCATGGGATCACACAGCTAGTAACTATCTGAGGCCAGATTTGAATGCAGGAAGATGAGTTTTCCTGGCTTCAGGCTCAGCACTCTATCCACTTTGCCTTCTATCTGCTCTGAAATAGTCATAAGATCATAGATTTAAAGCTAGGATGGATCTTAAAGACCAAGACGTATAACCCCTTTAGTTTATAGATGAGGAAACTGAGGCATACGGAATGATTTGCCCAGCATGACATAGTAAATATGTAAGGGCAGGATTTGAACTCAGGTCTTCTTGACTATGGGTCTAGTGTCCTCTCCACTACGCTACTCTGCCTTTATTCCACTGCATTCATGTACTACAACTTGTTTAGCCATTCCACATTAAGCAGCTAATAAACCATAGAATCACAGGATTGCCATTGAAACCAGTAGCTATCTAGTTCAGTTTGTACCTGAAAAATAATCCTCTCAACAGCATATCCAATAAGTGGTCCTCCATTTTCTGCTTAAAGACCTCTAATGAGGGGTAACTAACTCCAACCCAAGGCATCCCATCACACTTTGAAATAGTTCTAATAATTAAAACTCTTCCTTGCATCAAACCTCAATTAGCCTAAATGTAACTTCCACCCATTGCTTCCAGTTCCATCCTCCAGGGTTCATCTGGGACTAAGGTTCTGGCCGGGGAAGTCTAAATGCCTTTCTGGGAGTCCAAGTACAAAAAAATCTAGTGAAGAAGGAATCATCTATCTCTTCCCTCAGGCTTCTGGCTCAGGGACCACCATGGGCAATACAGAGGCAGGCAAGCTATGCTGAGCTAAGTCAATGCTGGTTCTTTGCTAAATATCCCTTGCTATGGCTAAGTAAACCTCCTTTTATTAACTCTCCGATGTTCTATGGCATTCTTACTTTCTTTCATTCCAGTCTTGAGGCCAAGCTCCTAGACCAGCCTGAGTCAGACTTAGCCTACTACAGGGACCAAACAAATCTAAGCTCTCTTTCAAATAATGACAAACTTCCAAATATTTGAAGATTGCAGTCATGCTCCTGCCACCCCCAAAGTGGATCTTCTCTTCTCCAGGCTGATTATCCCCAGTTTCTTCAAATGATCTTTAAAACTATTTGGTTGTGCTTAAATTTAACCCTACCTATTTTTGTCTAAAATAGTCTTCAGCTTTCTTGAGTGTGATGGGATTTGTGTTTTCCTAGTCAGTAACATTGTAATTATAGTACCAGTGTTTGCATATGATAGGAAACAGCACATTCCCTAGTTTTGAGGTAATTAGTGTCATGGGGAACACCAGTTCTATCTTCCCCCCAATTTCCTTTTCCTTTACAGAGTTCAAGTTGGTTATAGTGATATGACATGTCTTGCCATAAGACATTTATCAGTTTATCAATTTAGACTATGTCTTATTTATTTTTTGCATCTCCATTGCCTGACACATTGTTTTTGATTCAATTATTTCAGCATTTAATAAATGTCTATTGGAGTTGTAGGAGATAGTTCATTTCTGACCTCATGTGAATTTGATTTTCAGAGATTTCTTGGTTTTCTAGTTTGATTTTTCTTCAGTTATTGAGCTCAGTTTCTCTGACTCCTACACTGGGTTATTTTTAATTTCAATTTTTAAGGGGTTGAAGAAATAGAATTACATTTTTTAAAAGTCAGTAACTTCTGTTAACAGGGTGATTAGAAGTGTCAAAGTCTGAAGAAAAGGGTAATCGAGATTATGAAACACGGTGGTTTAGAATTCTCTTTCCCATTTCTTTTTCTCATTTAGTCAGGAAGGTGGTTTTTGCTTAGCTTGAAGGGGAAATAAATCTGATACCTTTTCCCCACTCTTAACTCTTTCCAGTCCGTAAAGCTCTGATTGTCCATTATAGTTGGCCCACAGAGAAACAACTTTAGAAAGAATAATCACTTAGTAGCATGGCCTAGTAATATCTACATGAATAACCTGCTATATGATCCTAAGCCACTTCATTATACCTAAGTGTTTGGTACTTTGGGGAGTTGACAATAAAATGTTAACTGTAACATATGCCTAGCCACATTTTTAACTGTTTTTGAGATTTATAGAATAATTTCTCTGTCTCTTTAAAAGTATTAATGAAAAACAAATGTTATAATTCACTGATACACCGGCCAACACTGGTTATGAAAACTATAGAAAAGCAAATCACAGATTTGCTCATAGAGATAATAATTGTCCACTTAGATGAAGCCAATTTGGCATACAAACAATTTGAAAATAAGTTTACCTTACAACCCATTTTCCAGGTGAAAAACATTTGATGGATAGCTGCCTGCTCCAAACTGGGCAATGATTTAATAGAACTGTTGGGATTAGAATTTCTTGGCCCTAGATTTCCATCCTGTGGCCAAAGTCTCACCAGACACTTATCTACCAAAATAAACAAATAAACAAAATCGTCACCTTCTGTGTTTTGAAATGCAAAGAGTTAAATCTTCAGTCATTTTACCATTTAGTATTCTTTCATAGGTTCAGAATCACTTCCAGAAGAAGCCTTTCAATACAAACAAGTCAAGTAGTTGTTTCTGGTTTTTAAAAAATTAATTTATTGTGATGATTCAACAGCACAAGAGGGAAAGATGGTTAGTTTTAAAATGGGTTTTTAACAACAAAATCTTCCCACAATAAAAATCCAAAGTCATATCCTGATATTAAAAAAAAAAGCCAAACCAATATACTTAATGCCCATTAAGACCTGAAATCTATGTACTCTAATATGGGGTGAATAGGAAGAAACAGGGCTGTGTATTTATTAAAACTTCTGTTAGAATCCAGTGCCCAGGATGGACCTAGAAGGAAACTCTTCACTGATCGCTTTATTGATTAAAGGACCAACTTAACTACTTGCTTCCTGGCAATTTCAAGTTGTTGTTGTTGTTTTTAAATGAAATAAAAGTTAATCCAGTTTTTTTTTCCTGTTAGGTCAGAGTGTGAGAAGAGTGTATCTATTTTCAGTAATCTAGGAAAACTGTTGCTTGAAGGGAGGGCATCATCTGAATGTTTACCAAACTCACATGCTGGTTAGGCTAACCCGAAAAACTGGCAAAAATTGGAAATCTCTTCGTTTCCATTCCTAAAAAAGGAATAGCGACGCTCGAAGGAAAAAAATAAAACAAACAAAAAAGAAATTACATTTAAAAACTTACGAAGTTCCCTGAAAAATAACAAGCTAGCCTTAAAGGAAGGTAAACGTCGTCTTAGACCAGCATTTCCAACACGATTTGAATTTTTGAACTCAGTACTGCAGCTTGCTCACCCCCAGCGCTTTGCAGCGAGCGAAGCTAGCCTCAGCCCAAACGTTGCAGTCTCTACTAAGGGATCTTCCAGACACCCGAAGGATTCCTAGATCCTATTCTCTGTACGTACATTCCTCTCGAAGAGTCCGTCCGAAGCTAGTGAAAAGTAGACACAAAGGCTGCTATTCTCTGTTCCTGTAGGGGAAAGAACCCCACCCCTTGACACCCCCTCTCATAACATAATCGCCCGAGAACAGCTTACTGGAGACGAGGAAAGAGTGGTTTTCTTCGAGGCAAAATAAGAGACGTGAACAATCCCGACATTTAGAGATGGAAAGAAAAGGACAAGAAAAAGTCGGCTAGATCTACACCTGCAGATCAAGGAGGGGTGAAGCGGGGAGGCGTCAGGAGAGTAGAGGGACTGAAAAGAGAGATTAGGCTGCATTCTATTTTAATCCACCCTCTTGCAAGTGAGAAATCTACAGGGAAAGATCCAACAGAATTAAAAAAAAACACAAAAAACCCCTAAAAGCCAAAACCCGCATCTTTTATTGTTTCTTCACTCATCACGTCCCTATAACTGCAAATGAGCTTGGAGGGAGTCTCCCCCCCATTCCCCCATCACCAAAGAGAGTCTCCATCTCTCGCTTTCTGTAGTCTCACACCTCCCTCCACCCCTGCGTTCTTTTCCTGCTGCTGCTAGTGGCACCGGGGAGTGGGGACTGGAGAGGAGGCAAAGGTGGTAGTGGTGGTGATATCAGTGGGGCGGTGGTGGCAGGCTAGGGAGGGAAAAGAGGGGAGGGGTGTAATGGGGTCTACCCAGTCTCTTCACTTGGAGAACTGCGTCTGCACCGCAGCTAGCCCGAGGCCGGAAGGAATTAAATGCGGGAATTTGCAAATAGCACAAGTGCAGAGGCCAGGGCTGCTGGGGAGAGGAAACTGACCACACGGCGGCTCCTCCAGCGACAGGTACTTGCTGGAGTGTAGAGTCTCCGGATGGTTCACTCCCCCTGGGGCCAGCAGCACAGATCCCGGGGCGGCGAACAGGGGCAAGCCGGCGAGCAGCAGTCGCGGCCCGGGCCCGCTCATTTCGCCCAGGATCCGCCGCAGCTCTTGCAGGGAGCTGCCCAGAAGAAGGATGTAGTTTCTGGCGAGCAGCAGCGTGGCGATTTTGGAGAGCTTCCTGCCCGGGGAACTCTGGCAATGGGCGGCAGAATAGGGCATTATGACCTCCCTCAGAGCGTCCATGGCCAGGTTGAGATCTTGCATCCTTTTCCTCTCACGGCTATTGATTTTCCTCCTCAGCTGCTGCTGCTCTTCCTTCAACTCCGTCTTGCTGCTGCTGCTGCTGCTGCTGCTGCTCCCACTCTCGCCACAGCCGCTGCCACCCTTGGCATTTTTTCCCACGCCCTGCTGCAGCTGCTCCAGAGGCGGTTCCAGCTTCTCGTGGATTTGCTTGGGAAGGAAGGTAGCAGTGGCAGAGGAAGAGGACAGAGGCTGCCTATAGCCCACCAATTCATATGGGGAAGCCCCGAGCTGCACATCCCCCGGCCGTTGTCTCAACATCTTAAGCAGAGCTGCTTTCAAACAAGCCTAGAAACCTTCATAGTAAAAAGGGAGTAGAGGGGACGTAGGAGAGAGGGTGGTAACGTGTGCGCGTGTGCGCGCGCGTGTGTATGTGTGTGTGTGTACTCGCGTGCTCGCTCGCGGGGGGATTTTCCAAGCTGCTGGTAGAGGTGACAACGAATCCACACTTCTAGAGCTCCCGAAGTGTTTTGCGAACCTTCCCCGCTCCCAAGATCTGGTAGCGGGAGCTGCTGCTTGAGGATGCTGGGAGAAGGGCATCCAGGGAAGAAGTGTACCAGCCAGAGGTCCTTTAAATCCAGTTCTTGAACTTGGGGAAAAGAAAAGAACCAACTGGGTCGAGAGTCTGGGCTGAGGCAAACACTCATTGGCTGGGGCACACACGTCGCTGTGGGTTGGGAGGAGAGGGTGGCGGGGGGGTGTAGAGGTGATTTTTGGCACCATTGAAATAGTTTATTGTTAAAGAACTGTGTGATTCTCTCTGCCGGGGTTCAGGCTGTCACGCGACACGATTCTCCAGGAAGGAGAAAGAAGAGGGCCTTTTTTCCCCCTGATGGACTCGGGGTGTTAAAGTAGAGATGATTCCTTGTTGGAACTAGAAATCCAGGGCTTCTACCCAACTCCCTTCCTCCCTCCTCCTGTTGCCTGCCAAGAGGCACGGAAAAAGGCTTATTTCTCAACAAGGTCTCCTGTCCTTGGCATTTAATGTGGTATCTATTTTTTTGTCTCCCCTTTCATTCCCCCCCCCTTTAAAATAAAGTATTGTACAATTTTACAGATGGAAGGGTGACTTGGAGCTCGTCTGGTCCAACCTCTTCAATTTTGGGGGAAAATTTTCAAGAATGGAGAAAGAATGCGATTATTCGAGTTTTCCCAGACAATGTTTTGCATATTCATCTTCTACATTACCAGACTTAGCACTCAATTACACCTAAGCTAGGGGTGTGCCCAAAGTTGTCCATTTACAGGATTAAAAAAAACAAACCACAAACCCTATCATATACAAATAGAAAAAATCAGCAACTGGAAGGTATAAAAACCATCTGGTTAGTAAGGTGTGCTTGGTGTGGAATATAAACACTCTGCCCTTTAAGCATTATATCTTTTAATAGCAGCCTAAAAGTACTATAGTCTCTTTCATAGCCATATACTTGCACATGGTGTTTGAGAATTATGTTGCTGCTGTAAAAGGTCAGAAAGGAAAGAAGGAAAGAACATATAAATGTTCAGACTGTTTTGCTATATCTGTAGGTATCTTTATAACTCCAGAAGCTAACAGAAGGAAAACAAATTTCCATCACATTCATGCTCTTTGAGGCAGAAATAGCACTCTTGACATTAAAAAACCTTTGATGAGTAGCAAAGGGGTATGTTAGCAATCACACAAGATTTGCAATTTTAGGAGCTGTCTACTATATTCAGAATCGTCTTGAAAATTCTAACTTCACCAAGGTTCCTTGGTTTACTATGCCAGGATCTTATTTTGAATCACGTACCTTGTGGAGATGGAATATTTGTTTATTTCAATACAGAAATTTCTTTCTTTTAAAAAAAAAAGATCCAAGAAACCGTTTGCTAAGCATTAACATGAAACATCCTGGAAATGCTTAAAAATCACTTTGAGTGCTTAAAGTTTACAAAACATTTTTCACACATTATCCCTCATGGAGAAGGTCCACCCTTTTCCCATCTATTGCCCACAAATGGGCAGATAAGCCTAAGGGCCCTGGGAAAAGCAGCTCTCAGAATAACCACCCATCCATATTGCCCACCCAATTCCAGCCCAGCTGCAGAAAACATTGTCTAGGGAGGCAACTCTTGGTGAGAAAAGACCTGCTAAGTTCTTCTTCAGGTGCTGGAGTCCACTTCCTGACCATCTCCACCCCTGCCCCCAACTGCAGTCACCAAAGAACAGGAATACAAAGATCTTGCCACAGTTTGACAAAGTTCTTGGTGCCATCAAAAGGTTCAACATTAAAAATGAATAGGGTTTTATTAATGGAAAAGGCATAAAGACAATACATCTGCTCTGCCACTACACTCTAAGGACCACTGGGTCTTTCCATCTAACTTGCATGTGAAATCTTCTTTATGTATTATCTCACCCTATTAAAATGTGAGCTCATTAAGAGGGGCTTAGGTTCCAGGAATGGGGAGAGAGGCGATAGTTCCACTGTACTCTGTACTTGTCAGGTCTCATCTGGAGTATCGTATTCTGTTCTGGGCACCATAATTACAGAAAAAATATTAATAAACTAGAGAGTGTTCAGAGGAGGATAACCAAGATGGTAAAGGGCTTTGAGTCCATGTCATATGAAAAGTGACTGAAATAACTGGACATGTTTAGTTTGGAGAAAAGAAGACTTCATGGGAGATATAGTAACTTCTCTAAGTATTTCCAGGCTGTAATGTGGAAGAAGGAATAAGCCTGTTCTGCTTGGTCCTGGGAGATAGAACTAAAACCAAAAGGATGAAGTTATAAAGAGGCAAATTTAGGCTTGATATCAGGAAAAAACTTCCAAACTCCTTGACCTGTTGAAAAGCAGAATAGCCTGCAGGAGAAGAGGTGGGTTCCCATTCCCTGGAGCTTTTCTAACAGAATCCAGACCATCACTTGTTAAAGAGAGGATTCTTTTTGCATATGAGTTGGATTAGATCCTGGTGAGGTCACTTCAAACTCTCTAATTCCATCATTTTGTGATCCTGTAAGAGTAGGGGTGGTTTTGCTTGTCTATTTATATGCTCAGTGCTTAGTACTGTGCTTTGCACAAAATAATTGCTTAAGAAATGCCTTTTCATACACACATTCATTCACTCATCTTATTTAACCTCCAGGAAAGTTCTGGAGGAAAGGTACTATGGTTTTGTTATCCCAGTTTATATATGAAGAAACTGATGCTCAGAGAGGTTAAGCAGCTTGCCCAAGACCATACATCTAGGATACAAGTGGGGACATTTGGCCCTGAGGCCACATATGGCCCTCCAGACTTCATGGATTCAGTCAAAGGGCCACACTTGGCTGAAGGTTCCCACATGTATCCTTGAGGTTGAAGGTTCCCCACCCCTGATTTAGGCTATTTCAGAAGTGAATTCAAACCCAAATCTTTCAAAGCCTTGCACTCTTTTCACTATACCAGGGGACCTCAAGTTTTCCACCAGTGTGAGAGTTTAAGAGGTACAAAATTTACATGAATAATTACTATGCCTTCCTGACCACTGCTGCCATCAACCTTCCCATTCCCCATTCTGTTCAAGTGAGTATTATAATCAACTACAATTTCCCCTTTCCAACTGCAGACACACTTCCATCTCCAGCTCCCCTAATCCCTTTATTCCTTACCCTCTATTGTATTCATCCATGTTAGTGTTGTAACCCTTTGTGAGATCCGTTAGGGCAAGGATCGTTCCATGTTTATATTTGTGTCACTAAACAGATCTTGACCTCCAGTGATGAAGATTGAAAGCCATTCATGCTAGGCAGGATAGCTGTTGTGGATAGACTGCCCAGCCTGTAGTCAGGAAAACCTGAGTTCAAACCTGGCTTCTGACACTTACTAGCTATGTGACTCTGGGCAAGTCACTTACCCTGGGCAAAACTCTTATCTGCCTCAGTTTTTATCAACTGTAAAATGGGGATAATAATAGTACATACCTCATAGAGTTGTATTGATGATCAAATAAGATAATGGTTGTGAAGTGCTTAGCACAATGCCTGACACATAGTAAGTGCTATATAAATGTTAGCTATTATTATTTATTATTCATGCCTACCCATCCTGTGAGACTTCCTGTCCTTGTCCTTCATGTCCTTCCACAAGGTCACTGCTGGGAATCCAGCTAAGGTTCTGGAAGCCTTTCTTGATTTCTCCAAAGAAACCAATGGAGCCCTCTGGCCATCTACATCATCTCTCATGTGATGAGTAAACTCCGTTTCTATCATACAGCATATTTCCTTTGTGACTTCTTTTGTTCTGATTCTTTGGAGTGCCTAATCGGTTACATGTTGCAGTTTTTCGCAACTGCTATGCACACCTTCATTGCTTGTTCATGACATTCATTTTTAATTCTTTGGAGACTGTAATATTCTATGTCTCATTGCCATACAGTTACACCAGTAGAATGTTGGTATTAAAAATATGGGCCTTTGATTTCACAGGAAGCTTGGAGTCATTAAAGGAGGTTTGCCATTTCCTGAAGGTAATCCAACCAGTTCTCCTTCTCCTGTCCATTGCCTGCCTGTATTGTCTAGTTCAGATACATACATACACAAATACAGGCATATTCTACATTATTGTACTTTGCGGATATTGTACTTTTCATAAATTGAAGGTTTGTGGCAGTGCTGTGTTGAATAAGTCTATCGGCACCATTTTTTCAACAGCATGTGTTCACATTGTGTCTCTGTGTCACATTTTGGTATTTCTCAAAATATTTCAGACTTTTTTATTAATATTATATCTGTTATGGTAATCTGTGATTGATGATCTTTGATGTTACTCTTGTAATTGTTTTGGGATACCATGAACCATGCCCATAGAAGAGGGTTTACTTAACCTTTAAATGTGTATGTTCTGACTGCTCCATTGACCAACTGTTCTCATCTCTTTCCCTCTCTTCAGGCTCCTTATTCCCTGAGACACAACAATATTGAAATTAGGTCAATTAATAATCCTACAAAGGCTTCTAAATGTTCAAGTGAAAGGAAGAGTCAATTGATGTGGCAAATGTAATTGTTGTCTTATTTTAAGCAATTGCTATAGCCACCCCAACCTTTAGCAATCACTACCCTGATCAGTCAGCAGCCATCAACATTGAGGCAAGACCTTCCACCAGCAAAAAGATTACAACTTGCTGAGGGCTTAGGTGATGGTTAGCATTTTTTTAACAATAAAATATATTTTTAAGATAAATGCTTTTTTAGACATAATACTATTGCACACTTAATAGACTACAGTATAACGTAAACATAATTTTTATATGAACTGGGAAACAAAAGAATTGTGTGACTTGCATTATTGAGATATTTGCTTTATTGTAATATTCACTTTATTGCTGTGGTTTGGAACTGAACATACAAAACTTCAAGGTATGCTTGTACATACATAATGCACACATATATACATGTACTTGTACATACAAACTCTAATTTGTCCCTACAAATGTCATCTTTCTTGGATGATTGAGCTAAATTGCTTTGAATAATTATAATTCTTTGCTAGGAGGCTCTATAATGTTCTGGGGCTTAATGTATTCACTATATCATCCACAAATAGGAATATCTGGAGCAGTA